TCACCTTAGTCAGTAAACGAGAGCGAGGATCGATGATTCGGCGAACGACAGGCTACTCTAATCCGAGCGTCCCAAACCCCCCAATGAATAGAAGAAGACTTGATATGAAGTATAAGGTGTATTCTACAAGCATCCAGAAAGTACGAGGTCCGGGTCCAGAAGAGGCTAAGGATCCCAGATTCAGGATCCGGGTCATAAAATGTTACAGATAATGCATATCTTTACAGTTAGGTCAACTGGGAAACAACATTTGAAGTATCTGACATTGACAGTTAGGACGAGAAATAGTAATTGACCAATAGAGTTAGACTTACAAATAATCCTCTTAGGATATTGAGTGAATATCCTAACACCGTAATTGCAGAAATAAATTTTTCACCTATACTAATCAAATTACTTTGTTTCTACTTATAGACATTGGAACTTGCGTACAGTGAGTTAGCAATACATGAAAAATATTTAGATTGTAAATTATTTAGCTGACCTATTTACTAAAAATTTTGGTTCTAATAAAAGAAATTAAAATGGTTCACACGTTGACCAGTTTATAAATGTGCATCGTATTGTTTACAGAAAGTATGTTTTATAATCTGCTCAGATAACTGGACATATTTAAGAATATTCTGTGTGTCTTGTGCTTCCTTATTAAGATATAACAAACATTTATAGTGTTATTATTATAGTTGGTAATAAAACAAAGTACTTCGAATTAAATCATATTTAATTTTCCATAATCCAAGTGCTATTACCCAGCATATTTATTAAGGCTAAAATAAGACAACAAGAAAAAGATAATTTTCATTTAGATATTGTAATTCTTTAAAATCTTGGTTAACGCTTAAGCACTGAAGCAACTTACTTACTTGCTTACTTTTGCCTGTTACCCCGAATGGAGCATAGGCCGTCGACCAGTATTCTCCTACCTACGCTGTCCGGGTCTTCCTTTCCAGTTCTGTTCAATTTTTGTTTATTTTTCTCATGTCTGTCTCCATTTCTCGGCGTAATTTTGTTCTTTAGTCTTCCTCTTTTCGTTTCGAGCTCCAGATGTTCTTCAGTTGTAGAAATGCTGTCCTAACTTTTACGATCAATGCCTTCACATCTGCATCAGATCCATCTTGCTCGTCAATGATGCTGCTCAGATATGTAAAGGTTTTTACGCCCCCCAAGACATCTCCGTCAAGAGTGTTTTTTTTGGCGCACTTAGTGTTGTATGGGAGAATTTCGTTTTTCCCCTTATGTATTTTGAGACCTGAGGCTGCTGCAACACTGGTCATAAACAGAAGAGCTGGATCATCTGCGAAGTACTGATCGTCATAGCAGATACACTACTACTCAAATATGAAACAAATTTACCCATGTTCCGGTTTCGGCATTATGGCAGTATTCCACCTAAATAACTAATTCAATCATTTGTGTGGTGTATTAATATTTAGCTGCCTAATTGTACTAATGTTTATATGTTTAAATAATAATTTAAGCTAAAATAGTATCTTGTAAGTGCATATTTTCTAGGTCAAATTAGTCTGTAGTGCCTCCACATATATTCGGATTCGCTTACATTTAATTTGGTTAAACCCTTTCGGTTAATTTATTTAACCAAACCATTTGTATAGCAACAATTTATGTATGTACCATTCGTTCTGATTATTGTCTTGTTTGTATGAGCCCACGTGACTTGTCCCACTTGTTTTTCGACCTTGTCAACCATTCGTCGCTTTTATTCATATGTGTGTATGCCTATCTCGTTGGTCACATGTCTGTCTTATTTTTATCTGACTATAAATTCTTAGTCATGCTCTATCTCGGGGCGGGGGGGTTGGCTCACTAGCCTTCTCCGCTTCGTTTTGTGGTGTGTCCAAAATAGACGTATTCAACACTCCAAGTTCGCCTTCTGATTTATAAACCGTCAGACGCTAGTTAGTAACGATTGTCTGGACGAGCTAATTACGAAGCTTAAGAACACGTCGAAATCAGCCACCACAAATCAACCGGTAACATTGTTTTACTGAAATCATGAATCGAACGAAACGTGGAAACACTGGACAGCCATTTAATACACAACCTCCGCTCTTTGGAATCTTAATTTTAATCACGTGCTAAATCATTTGAACCAAGCAACAAAACTCTTATTCTGAATTGTTAGATAAACTCATTTTGAAATGAAATTTAAAATGTTTGCATTGCAATGACTACCGCTCAGCGACATACTAACTTAGCCTTATGGTTCGCCTTACTTATGCAAGTGTAAAATAATGGTATATACATTTATGCATTTTGTGCATAAATCGAAGATTGTAGATGCTTAGCATTATTTAATTGATATTCAATGTAATATGATGGAATAGGCTGATTGCCTAATCAGGCTCACAGTGAACGTGCATCAACATAAAATGATTTACTGGTTTCACATTATTCTGTAAACTATTCAGAATCTATGCTGGACCTTCACATCCAATAAATGTACTCTCTGATATTTAAGCCAACCACTTTAATAATAATAATAATAGTAATAATTATTACTATTATTATAACTAACTATGACAGTAACATTATGGATTGTAATATTTATATGTGTACACTGAATTACTAACAACAATGAGTTGTTTATGATAATCTTTTAGCACTTAGCTTTACTTAAAGAATTCATTCTATCAAAGCATAAGATCGATTAAGTTGACCTGCTTAATAATTTGTCAGTTTCTGCACAACGTACTGAATAATTTCTAACCATGTAAGTTGTAAGTGACGAAAATCATTAGCACAGTCTCATATTTGAAATCTATTGCAAGTTGGTAAGATTTTTGTTAATCAACTCTGCTGATGACTATTCATTCATTCGATTCGGCTTGATTAATAGGTTTCATTCACTATTATCCCTTTACAATACAGTTTATTCATCTATGCTTATGAAATCATCATTCATCCTCAATAGAATGAGGAATCACTAGTCAATAAAAATAATGATTACGTCATGTGTTTTAAAACTGATACAATTAAATAGTTTCATACTGTAGGATGACTGTACACTATTTTTAGAAGTATTTTATATATATTGATCGCATCTCACATCTTATACTGTCGATTATTTTCTACCCAATATTACTGGTCGATATCTACCACTCTTCTATGATGTTTTTCGTTTGTTATGTTGGTATGACTAAAATACTTGGCTAGTCTATACATACAGAAATCACATAATTATTGACTGTGATTATGTATTAATGTGAAGCAGCTCAAGGAAATAAATTTTTAACATCATAAAAATACCGTATCCAATCCCAATTAAATCATTCCCGTAAAATTCAACCAATCAAATCTTACGTAGAACTGATTTACAACTAGTGAAAAAAAGAAGTGTCATCCACAAACTGAGCACAAATTTTTATTAACATTTGAACCCATCACTGTTTCATTAATTTTTATAGCCACACTCTTAAAATGTATACTTAGGGGTCTTAAAAAAAGATCATAGTCGGTTTAACATCAGCCAAATAACTGAAGCTATGTGTGCAAGAGAAATACGTTCAGCCTCTCTTTGTCTTAACATAGCCAACCTCGGGTTCAATTAACAAACAGTTATCTTAACCGTTGAATGACCTAATTTGACTAATATATGCACAATCTGTCTTAGTCAAGTGTAATTATATTTGTTATCTATATCCAAACATGTCATTATTATTATTTGTTAGAATATCATCAAATATCCTAAATAAATTATTTTCTAAGTCTAATTCCATTGGTCAATACTTAAGGTCGTCCTAAACTGTCAAGTTCACATTCTTTAAATGTGGTTTTCTATTGGATAGTATTCACGGTCGTCCTAACTGTAGATACACATGCATTGTCTGTAAAGTTTCATTATTCCTTATTCCTTACGCTTCTACTTTACTCGACTCCATAAGCACCTTTCATCTAACGGTGTTATGTTTTGATATATTGGAAATTTGGGAACAGTATACGGTGTCGAACTAGGATATTTGAATTTGGTCAATCGATAGAATTTCGAGTAGCCACATTGCGCACTATAATATTTGGCGACACATTATAATAATAATAATATTATTATTATTATTAATGATTTAATATCACTAATTATCTCCTAAATAAATGATCAATTCATTCGGCCCTCATGCCACTTTAATATTTGTTATTGTATTTACATAACATTATTCACTAAACATTCGAACGGATTTAATAACTGTAATGTTATTTCTGTCACACAATATCCGACCCATATCTATTCTGATCATTGATGTCATAATTTGATTTACGGTATAAAATTAATTCAAGTTAACAATGCCTATTACTCCCCACTCACAACTGCTTACTTAATCAAATCCATTACCTTCAGATCTTGTAATCAGTAAAGTGTCTTTAGAATAATAAGAGGATAGATAAATAGTGGTTTACATTTTTAGTTTCAATAATTTCGACATAATATGATTCTTTTTCAGCATTATCAATCGATTCCTGCCTGATTCCCTCCTATTTGTTGGAACATGTGTTGCGTACACTGAAACACTACCTGTTACCTAGAATCATGATGTTTGCTGTTGTAGAAGTAGGATGAAAGAAAGCTAAGGACGGTCAAAAGAAAGATACTGTTTAATTTCATGAAGTCATTGACTTTTTAATTGAGATACAGATAATCTAGTTAAGCTCTTCGCAATTATGGTAACCAGTGATTGGAGATGATGAGTGGTGCAGCCTAGATACGTTCACGATCTATTCAATCTTTGTTTTCCCGTAAATCTCAATCAAATACCATTCGACTAATTTATTCTTTCCTTTTAAATCACATATTCCAAGCCCAATTTCCCTACAATTGCTGTTATAGTTACAAATTTCACTAATCTATCTTCCACGCTGATATATATTCATCTCACTATATTGAAATAATGTAGTAATAATGTGAACTGATTAACTAATGTGCCAAATTTTTAAGTTGTTCACAATCGAATAAATATGATTAACTACTTCAAATGTTATTATTTTTTTTCAAAAAAAAAATAATAAAGAGAAAACACTGATGAAAAAATAGTATTTTGAAACAATCGATATTCTGCGCAATATATGTATATATATATGATATATGAAGACACACAAGAAAACATTCACCTACACACATAAAGTACATTTTGAGAGAAAAAAAAGTAAGAAAGTAGAGATAACTACTAAATGACAATGTTGTTTTATGCTTAAAACTTTTTTTATTTTTACAACAAATGTGACTGATGAAGAAAGAAAAAAAATGAAGGTGTGTGTGTGTAATGGAGAAATAACCCAAACCAAATACAGATTACGTTCCCTTTTTTTTTTGTTAAGATAGATGACAAGATGAAAATGACTAACAGATTTATTGAGAAAAAAAAACAAAACAATGTCGTCTCACTCACACACACTCTCACACATATAGAAGTCATCAATATGATTATGAAATAAACATTTTTCGTTTCGTTGTTTGTTTTTTTCAGTTTAGTAGTGTTTCATTTACTTCACAAGAAAAAAAAAATAAATAGATGTTAGTATTTGTGCGTTTTGTTCTATTAAGTAGTAGAGTTTTTGTCAATTCTATCAGTGTGCTCAATTGTGTAGTATAGTATAGTACCATTTGAATGTGTTATTTAGTTAACTTGACAGTATGTAAAAATGTATTTTTATTCATATATAATATTTGGCCTATGAATGAATGAATGAAATATATATGTTGTCAGAAAAAAAAAATATATATATATATTGTTTTTTTTCGCAAAATTCCAATTACACAACTGTTTGTTTGTCTAGAATGATGATTTTGAAAATAATAATTCGTCTTCAAAAAGATTTCATCAAAAAAAAATAGAATAGTAAAATAAAATAAAATAAAGAAACAAAATAATGAGCAGCAATTTTACGCGGGTAGACAAAAAAAGAATTATTATTATTATTATTATTAGAAGCAAAAACCTAAGTCCAACCAAGATAAAGCAAGATAATTAATAATAACCAAACTGAAAAAATGTGTTTGTCTTTTTTGTTTTTCATGAAGAAATAAATGAGAAAAAAAAATTGTCTATATGTTAGAAAAATATTTGGTATTTTGGAATTTACATTGTTCGTTCAAAAACTCAGAAAAAAATAGAATGACACACACAACACACTTACACACACGTGCACACACACACACTATTCGTGAATTTCATGAAATGTTAGTCGGAAAGAGAAAAAAATACAGTCATTACATGTATGCATCTATGTAGTGCAAACTGGAGAAAACTTGAAATCATCATCATCATCATATTCGAATAACGCCTAGATTCTCATATAGCTCAGTTCTCAACTTGTACCAAATAAAGTGATTTGTGAATTTTGTTCATCCATTGATTGTGTAACTGATAAATTACTATTAAGTACTGCTGAAACAGGATTTGTATATGATGGATGATTATTCAATAAATTCATAACAGTTGTTGTTTGTGAAGTGGAATTAATTGTTGGTTGTGTTTGTGATAGAGTGGATGTTGAAATTAATGGTATTTGTAAGCCTAGATTATATAAACCAGCTAATGGTGGCATTGAATTGTTCAATGATGATTGTCCAATTGTAGAAGAAGATGAACAACTTTGTCCTAATTCATTATTACAATTATTTAATGATTGTTGTAATCCAATAATTTGTGGCATAGCTGAACTGTTCGCTCGATCTAATCCATTCGGTCCAACTAACATAGTTGAAGCAGCAGCAGCAGCAGCCGCAGCGGCAGCTGCTGCAGTTGATATAGAATTTGGATCAAAATAATATGTGGGTTGATTATTAAATGTTGCATTGATAATTCCATTATTGCCTAATGTCCCAGTGGAAAATAATTGTGTGGAATAATCAAATCCATTATTGATCAATGTTCCAGTGGAACATTCATTTGGTAAATGATGATGATGAGTATTGCTTGTTTGATTATTATTATTATTATTAGTCAAATTCCCTGTCATTGTGCTTAGACCACCACCATGAGTATTATTGATAGGAAAATTTGAATTACCAGATAATTGTAACATATTGGTTTGATGTGATTGTAATAAATTTAATGTTGTTGATGTATTTGGTAAATTGTTTGATAAAGGTAATGGTATAAATGCTGCATTTGTATGCATTACACTTGGATTAATTGGTAGAGTATAATTAGCTGCAAATGCTTTTAAATTATTGTGATGAATAAATAAAATAAATAAGAAAGAAAAACAAAATGTTTTTTTTTAAGATAAAATAAATTTAAAAAGTTCATCAAAAAAAAACAAACAAAACAAACTAACTCTTACCAAACAAACATCATCAGCATAAACTTCTATCTATATCTGAAGTGAAGAAATTCAAATACTTCACTTCTCTATCTGGAGTTTGTGCTGATGATGTTGTTTGTTCAGAAGAACAATGAAAGCCCCCCACAATTAACTAAACATCTAGCTCAGAGAATGATACACCACCACAATCATCATCCATCTGAGCTATAAATTTTGTCCACTATCTCAAAATCATATATATAAGTGTGACGTACTTCTCGTTGTTCGAACATGGGAGAATTTCACTCGAGAACAACCCTACTTTCTCCTAGAATGCCTTTGTCAGCATGTTGTGCCAACAAGGGTCAGGTACGTACCACCATTTAACTGCCCAATGGGATGGCGAATAGCGAAGCAAGGTGGAAGATATATGATGAAATGTTTAAACATAAATATTTGAAAATCTATTTTAATCAACCAGATAAAGTGAACTGATATAACACTTTTCATCATCAAAGTATTGATTATTTCTTGTTTGATTCAGTCGATGGCTTAGAATCATTTTTATGTAAGAAGTGAGTTAACACTTGAAATTTGAATCTGTTTGAGGTATATAATTTTGATCAGAAAAATTGGAATTTAAAGTTGGAGAAGTATGGTAAGTGAATTGCCATTTTGGTAAACTAACATTCTCTGTCGGAAGTGTAGAATAGAATGGATTATTAGAAAGCATACAGCTATTTGAATTCAATGGGGTCATGGTAGAAATAATGACTGGATCAATGTTTGAATTCGATAGAAAAGAAATAACATGTGATGTACTCAATCCACTGGTTTTCTAATACATTTTATAGCGAGAAGTTTGAAGTAAAACATTATTTTTACTATTCATGATGGACAAATTAAAAACAAGGAATTTTATCATTAGATTTAAGTGTGTGATGTTGCGCAAGACAATATGACCGTACAACTGTAACTCTATCGACTTCACCTCTGTTAATCATTGTCTGATATTTTGGATACAAACCTGTAACAACGCAACACAATTATAATAATAATAATTCAGAACAAATCGTCATCAACGAAAGTCGATAGATATTTTTAAAAGCTTAACATTCTCCAAAAAATATTGTATAATGAGAAAGTTTTGATACCTCCATTCTTATCCTGAAGACCGAAGCAAATACCAAACACAAAAATTTTTATACTCTCTTATCGGTATGCTAAATCAGTCGGAATTGTAACTAACACCTAATATTCTTAGACAATATATCACTGAAAGATTTTATTGCTAATACTATTCCGATTAAAAGCACAACTTATCACTGTCCAAATACAAGGTCAATTATTTTTGTGAATATAAGTTTATTACTTACAAGTAGTTTAAAATTACTTTACTATATCCTGTTGAAGTTCTAATTTGTATAACCCTTCACAACATTGAAATTTTATCAGTAACTACTTTATGAACAGATAATAGGAAATCAAATAACGAACAACTGAACATGGCGGAATAAGGGAACTAGATAAAAAAATTTGTTTTTGTGTTTGTCAGCAAGTGAAGAGAATAACAAAATTAAACTGCTTCTTATTATCCACCTACAATTTTTAATTCTCTTTCAGTGGAATTTACGACATTGAACACTTACATCCATCAGTCAGTCAGTTACAACGTAGAATCTGGTACATATGTACATCACTTCCAGTTTCCATACCAAATTAGCACAGAGACCGAATTTCGAGTTCAAATCCTATGACAGTCAAGGTTGCACAGTATCAGTGTTCATAAAAAAGATTGTGGATCGAAGGTATGGTTCGAGAAGTATATCCAAGGGAAATAAATTTAAAAGGAGAAAATCGGTCACAGGGAGTTCTGAAGGTAAGAATTTGGGGGAAGACAGTGAATAGATGTATCTGCGCAATCTCGAACGATTGTAAACTGGTTATGATTGTTTTGCGAACCCTAACCAAGTAGTCTACAACTATTAAAATGGCTCAGTCCAGCTGTCGACGACTTCATGGATTGGCTTCGTGTTTTTGTTTGCCCCCGTTAGCTTTCTTCCAGTATACCCCTACATCAGACAACATTGCCCATAAAAATAGTCGGTGGTTGAGCATACGTAATACATGTCCCAAATAGTTGTAACTTATTAGTATCCTCTATTCTTAGTGAAGTGTTTCAAACCCGTATAGTAGCATGAAGCGAACTCTTATGTAGTAAACTCGTTCTATGGTTAGCAGACGGTATCTCACCTAACCCATAAATGACGCACGTTGGCAAAAGCCAGTCGAGTCTTTTGAATCTGTGCCTAGATTTCGTCGGACACAAGACCATCAGGACTTATGAAATTGTTCTGAAAATGGATTTCAGTTTAGTCACAAATTTAAACTCAGAAATAGCAATGAAATATTTGAGAAACAGTTGAGTACAACACTTGAATTTAGCTATTTTTAGAAATGCTACTGATAAACTTGACCAAATAAGGTGAAACAATCTTTCTATTTTTACTTCAAAACTATCTAGTTGTTCGAAAGTACGTATATGGTTATGTTATACACAATGACATCTTATAAAATTGTGTTATATGTACTTGATATGTTTCTATAATCTTGAAAGATTGCGGTACTCTCCGAGAAATTGATTCAATATGACAATTATCGTAAACAGTATTCAGCTTTTCAAGTAGTAACTGAGTAGAACTGAAATTCGTCTATGCTACGCTCGTCTCTAGGTATGCTTAAAACATTTACGAGTTCACCTTTGTCAAATCACGAGAACAAAACAATAAACCAGAGTCCAGGTAGGCTGTTGTGAACCCTTGACCAAATTGTACCAGCAAAAAGTCTTGATATAGTGTAGAAAGTGTATTCTATAAACACCCAGCCAGCACACAATCAATCTGAGCACTCAAATTGCGCTTATTTATACTGTATAGAGACGTCCTTGGGACAGTCACAAAAATATCACACTAAAATGACACAGTAACCAATCGCAGCTACGGATTTTTCTGGTAGAAAATTTAATCTCAAAGTCAACTGATCGGTCCATGAAATGAATCCAAAAATAAAGATGTTTATCAAGCGAGTTCAGGTGATCTAACATCCCCAACAGTCTAACAACAGCTAATCGAACTCAACGACCAATTCGAGCCATAACAAGCCTCATTTAAAAGTGTTTTAAACTTTAAGAAATGTTAATTCTAGGTGTTTAGAGATAGTCAAAAGGAAAGCCTGGATTTAGCTTCCTTTCTGTTTTAAACTCGTAAGACGTACCTGTAATCTTGATGGAAGTAATTATTGGACCAAGGAAGTATTTCAATGAAATGACTTATAGCTTTCAAAAAACTTATTTGTCATTTTTATGACCAATTTTTGTCGATCATGTAATACTGAAAGCTAACTGTTATAAAGTGTACATAACTGAAAATTTTCATGCTATAATTAACGTATAAAGTTTTAGTTATAATATGAATGCCTTGATTTAGTACATTGAATACCTTGAAAATATTTCGATTTATTTCATCACCACATCCCATAGAGAACAACCTTGCTAAAAATACACCGAATAGAAAAAATAATTCGAACTATTAGGTAAACCTTTGTCCAGGCAGTTCAAAGACCTTCCTTTTGAGGAGTTAAGATTAATCATGGAGAAAGTCGAGTTTCTTCGACAGTCATGAGATCAATGTCTCTTCTGACAATCACAAGACCAAGTAACATAGGTACACGGAAAGCTCACAGAATGTTGGGGACTGGGAAAACGAGGAGATACAATTAGGAAGTGCTGTGAAAAAGTAAAACACATTGGACGCAGGCTGCACAAAAACGACTAGTTCAGGAGAGATACTGTTACAATTCGGCAAAGAAGACGAAAGTAACTGACACTCAAGGAAACGCGTATACAATGCTACATAGTTTTCAACAGATTACACTACACAGAACCAAATCGACCACATTTCATCAACAAATAGTTCATAAGGGCTATAGAGGACATGACTTAGATTCAGAACCCCAAGTGGTAGTCGGAAATTCGGAGAGACAGCATTGCAATGCTAAACACAACCTCCCCTCGTAATACTGAGAATCTCAACGAATTCAAGATGGTTCTCAACAATAAGTTCCAAGCCTAACACAATCTACTCAATGGAGAGGAAACTACCATGGAGAACATTTGGAAAAGAATCAAAGAAGCAATAACGACTGTGTGTCGTGAGGTTCTGAGCCACAAAATTCACTACCACAAAGAATCGCTCTCCGCTGATAATCAGGATAAGATTGAAAAAAAAGAACAGTTGCATGGAATTTGACAAAAGTCGAACAAGACTAAGATAAGCCGAATCACAAGTCGAACGCTCAGAAGCAAAGAAGGAAGTGAAGAGGAGCATTAAAGCTGATAAACGGACGTAGGCAACTTATGTGTCACTGTACGTCACAAAGACGAAGCTCACAATTATTCGGAACAGCTAGTCAAGAGGAAGGAAGGCAAAACATTCACCTAGTTCAAATAACATCGAAACAGATGGTTAGAAAATTTTGAAGAATTGTTGAGTAAACCAGACCCACTGAATCCACCCAGCATTGAAGCAGCCCATTGAAACCGCCAAACATAGAAGCAACATCTGCGGACCTCCCAAATGATGTTGACCGAACAATTATGGAGGAGATCAGCATGGCCATCAGACAAATTAAGAACGGCAAAGCAGTAAGATCAGATAACATTCCAGTGGAGGCGCTGAAAGCAGACATGGCAGTAACTGGGAAGATGTTCGAAACCCTGTTCAGCGAGATTTGGGAGGAGGAAGATGTACTAACAGTGTGGGAAGTAAGATACCCCACTGAGAAATCTAAAGGAGGAGGTCCTGATAAGTGAACCATAGAGGCATCATTCTACTCTGAATTCTGGAAAAAGTTTTCATCAGTTTTGTTGAGCCGAATGAAAGATTCTCTAGATACTGAAGTTTAGTATCATCAAGTTGGAATTTGTAAGGATTGACCATGCTCCGCTCACATCACAACATTACGGATGATTGTGGAACCAACAACTGAATGGAATTCACCACTATGTTTGAACTTCCTTGACTACAATGGAGCATTCGACAGCGTAAGCATGATGATATTACGGAGATTTCTTCGACGCTACGATTTACCTGAAAAGATAGTCGACAACATATGGAATTCTTATGATGGACTTCACTTCATGATCGTGTCTGAACGACATCCCACAAACTCATTCTAAGTGAAGACTGGTATCAGCAGTGGTTACTTACTCTCACACATTCTTTTTCACCTGGTGGTCGACTGGATTATGAAGACTTTAATATCTGAGGGGAAACACGGAATACAGTGGACAGCTTGGATGCAGATGATCAGATGATGACCAGTGTAGTAGCAGCCTCTTCAATAGTAGGTATCGATATACGCAAGGGAAAAGTAAGATCCTCCGATACAGCACGACACGCACCGATCAAACCACAATTAGTGGAGAAGCTTTGGAAGATGTAAAAACCTTTAGATATCCAATCAGTATCATTGATGAGCAGCGTGGATCTGATGCGGAGGTGATGACACGGACTGACAAAGCAAAGGAAGCATTTCTATAGCTGAATTACATCTGGAACTCAAAACAACTATCAAAATCAACTATCAAAACAACTATCAGTCAGAATTTTCAGTACAAATGTCAAGACAGTTCTGCTGTGTGTAGCGGTAGGCTGGAGAATTACCGAAGTCGCGAAAGCGATCATTCAAATGATACGTGTTTCATTGAGATGATAAGTCGATCGATGTTTGACCACCACTAGAAAACTGGTGGCAATGGACGGCCGTTTCATCACGGTAGGGGACAAATCAGCAGTGTGCAACCATAACCCCCCAGACGGGGGATTCTAACGATAGTCTAACATTGATGAATTCAATAATCACCATATCCTTATAAATACAGGTACTTATTAACATTTATCTGTACAAGATACTTCTGATTTGTAGACCAGACAACCTTCTATGGCAGAGAACAAACCAGCTTTCGGCTGAGGAAGAAATGAGGAAAACTTGCTGGAGGTGGATAGGACATATTACAGAAATCACACAATTGTGTCAAGAGCAAAAACTCAGAATCCTCAGGGCCAAGGGAAAAGAGGTTCAGCAAAGAAAACATTGTGTTGAGAATTGGAGACAGACATGAAAAGAATGAATAATAATAGGATAAGAACTGGAAAGGAAGGCCTAGGACAGAGAAGTTAAAGAAAACTGATCCCTGACCTATCCCACACGAAGGGTAGCAGGCACAAGTACTATACTAAGTTACGTATATCAGTTTCCTATCCTTTTTTTAGTGGCTACTATTCGGAAGAAAAATGCATACTGGGAAATAATTCCCCAAGACGAATGACTGACTAGGCATTGATAATTCATGTTAACAAACCTAACCAACTAAAGAAATTTGACTATATATACTTGCGACTTTCTGACACGCTTAACCTAATACATTTCTCCTATTTTCTGCATAGTCAGTTAAGATGCTGCGCAGTGGTTTTCATATGTCTATCAACACTATTTTCCTTTTCCTTCAAGCTACATTTCAACTTTAAGATCGTTCATTATAAGCAATCATTCAATGTTCAAAAAAATACTCATTCATGTTTAAATCACATTCAGTAAAACAATTCCATTAAAACAAAGAAAGAAAACTAAGGTCAAGTTTTATCAACTTAAAAAAAAGGATTCTTTTTTAAGAAGCTATTACCTATTACTTAAACTTTGAATAGATTTCAAAATATGACTGAATAAATGTGGAGGAGATGAACAAAGTTTATTTTCGAAAGCTATGCACACATAATATCATGAATCATTCGAATATTTAAAATTTTGGATAAATAAACTGAATAATCGGCATTTGCATGAGCAGAGGAGGCATCACATTATGCAAAAGATGAACTAGATTTACCACTACGTGCAAAAGAATTTATCGTATCTAGTGGTGACTAAAGTGTAATACTCTAGTTATATAAAATAAAAATATCATCTATACCGTTATATCATGAATGTATTGGCATGCAAAATTCACTGTTTGAGTCGCTATTTTCTACACCACAAAATATTTAACAATCTAAATGAATTCACTTTGATTCGATAAGTAAGATGAAGTTGGGTATTCTGTGTTGGTAGAAAAGTACTTGCCTATTACCGCTAATCTATCATAGGTCGCCGTTCAGTGAATTATTTTCCTTGATTAGCGGGTTAGATTTCTACGAGATGGAGTCGCTTAACCCTTGCCCAATCCTTCTTCTTTATCCGAGCTTGGGAGTGGCAGTAACTCCAGAGGGCCTCAGGCGGAGCTCCTTTTCAAATGACCGTGACTATGGAGCATAAAAAGGTGTTTTCAAAACTTTTGAAATGATTTCAAAATAATAGATCTTTTTCTAATAGGAGTAACTAGATTCCGAGTCAAATACTAATGTATAGTGTCGTATTTATCAATACACAGTTTTAAATTGGTATATTGTATGTATGCATGCTTATATTGCATGTTATAAAAATATCTCGTTGAACTAAATTAAAGATCTTTTATAATCAAATCAAATCAAATCAAGTAGTCAGTTATACTTACCTTCATTCAAATTGAAAAGATTAAATGGAAGATTTTGAATAGCTATTTCTGAAGCACCCAGTTTAGCTTCAGTAGCTGTTAAATAATAACGAGTTGTATTGCATCGGAATTGCAATTGTGGTATATAAACCTGATAAGATAGCATGAAAAGTTATGACATAATTACATGCGGAAAAACACATCAACATTGATCAAAAAACTTAATGTGCTTAACATGTGAAACATGAACAGTAGATAAACAACACTAATTGAAACTTATTTCATCCGTTGCATTTCGATTTAACATTTCGTTTAAAGAAATTCAATGTCCAAAACCCTATTTAAGATACTATAAGATTGTAGTAAAGTAGTAGTAAAGTTAACAGGAAACTAACTACACACACACATGGAATCGATGGATGTGAATGGTAATTCAGGAATTCAAGACACTTGTTTTTACCCTAATTTGGTGTTTGTTAGACAGCAGTACCGACACATGTCAGATTTTATGTTCAAACAGTGAGTCAGACCTATCTGTCCATCGAGATCGTGGAGAAGATTTGTAGCTGAGGTGGATGATTGTGTTGGTGGTATTTGGTTCTCTGAGCTCAGAGAACCACTATCTGTCTATCACTTATTGTTTCAAATGCTCAGTGCTTTATTCACTTGGGTTGTAAATTTAGATGGCCACTCATTTGTGGAACAAAGACCGATAGAAATTCTTCAATTAAGCATATCAAGAATAAGGTAATTAAAATTATTTCTCTATTCTTTTGGCAGAGTTATTCTTTTCTAGATTAGAAGTACTCTGTTGGCAAATTTCATAACACATAGAAAAATCTCAAATTTTATCACATAAAATATATCATGATCAAACTTCAAAATTGATTGATCAGAATGACTATCTGTTGGCGAAGTTAGATCCTCAGAAATCACTTGATAAAGGTCCTAATTTTGGATTTTATGTTTTCGACAATGGGCTGATCAGTTGAACGTGAGATTACATTTCTCATCAGGAAAATCCTTTACTGTTACTGGTTGGTGTACTATTTTATAGTACGCTGTTTTTATGGCTCTTCTAAAGACGTTGCTAACATGTATAAATAAACTCGATTTGCGTGCTTGTAAAACCTCATATTTTCTGGGTGCTTGTATAATACACTTTCTACGCCATATCAATACTTTTTCATCTACTTAGTGGGGCCTTGTGACGCTCGGATTAGAGTAGCCTATTGTGTCACTGGATCATTTGTCATGGTTCTCGTTTACCGACTAAGGAGAACTCATAATAGTTCAAGCATATCAACTGGTGATGAGCCTAACACTATCAATGTTAACATCTAACTTACAATAAAATATTATGTAGCTTCTCAAATTCTTCATATGTAACTACATTGAACATCGAATAACTAACTCAAATTGAATAATTTGATGAATAGAATATATTTTAAATTGGATTATATAAGAAGTATCTAGTAGATTTACAGTGACTAACATGATGTGAATATGTATGGCATTAATAAATATAACGTCGTGGTAAAACCGTTTAACCTTAAAATGTATTTTGTCCAATCCTCACAAAAGCAATTCATATATATATCTATATATATCTGTGCGAATAATCAATTCTATTTCTAAACTCTGAGTTTGGTTTCTGACTGTAATATCATAAAACGTCAACGTTCAATAATCATAAAAGCTTTCATTAGAAACTTTCAAATTTTTAAATCAGCATTCAATGATATCGACTGAACCGGGGTGAACTTGTCAGCTATGCCTCAAATTTCGTCTCTCTTCCAGTGTATATTATCAATGTGATAAGCGATTAGTTAAGTAAAACTGACAAATAGACAGCTGAACTAGTGTTTAAATTTGTTTTACTATACTAATTATTTAGCTTTTCTAACTGACACCGATAAAGAAAAACATGACTGATTTCAGGTTTTTAAGACTACTACATGTACTGTTTATTATTATTATTATTATTACAGACTTTGATGACACATGTAGAGTTTTGCATAATTATTCATTTAGTTTTGTTAAGTTGTAATTGTTTATTTAGACTTGATTATAATAATTAGCATAAAACTAAGATGAATAATGCAAAATGCAAAATGCAAAAACGGTATTTTCTAATCACACCTATTTCTATTTCTCTACTGACACTTCTTATTTAATCCGTGTTATCACATTCTTGTAAATTATTCGATTAGTCTCTGTGTTGTAAATCTTTTTCTTTTTTATGTGTGTATGAATTAGTAGTAGTGTTAACCAACTAGACTTTCACTCAAAAATACGTAAGTGAATACTTCTAATCATCAAAGCATGAATTGTATGTCAGTCAGTTAAGTGTATAATGTTTAATGTCGCTCATTTGATGTAATGTATGAATAGTTTGAAGAGACTACTCTGATAAATCATTCTAATTGTTCATTCTGTGTTTGTGTTCTAAGATTGTTAAGTTACACACTTTCGAAACCATGAATCGATCAATGTTAGATCACCATTAGAAACCTGGAAGCACTGGACGTGACCAGTGAAGTTTAACCTGTTCGGGTGTAGACAGTAACTTTCGAAGACTGTGTATGAGATTGCGCAAGACCGTGAATTGATCGAAGTTAGACATTAACATCGTTGGATACCAACTCAGTGGTTCGGAGGTTAGGCGTTGGCGCTCAAGACCGAAGGTCCTGGGTTCGAATCCTGCCAGGGGCAGAAGTCGTGGATGCGCACTGCCACTGATGAGTAGTCCCATACCAGGACGAAACGGCCGTCTTTCAGTGCTTCTAGGTTTCAAATGGTGGTCTAACAAATATATATATATATATATATATATTTATATATATATATGGATACTACCGCTAACTCAGTATGTTTATTCTATGATTTTCTATGCAAAATCATTGAAAAAAAATCGGAATTATAGATTCATGTATATATACATACATTTATAAATCTGATTTGGTTTTTATCAAGTTTATTAATTAATCGAAACGCATTTGAATAACATTTATAGATTGACATAAATCATATATATATATATATATGGTACAGTGGTTATAAAATATGGTATGATTGACCCTTGATCACATTGACAAATACTAAGTGATAAAATTTAAAAATTAATCTATGCAATAAATTAAATGTTGAAAAAAATAATTCATTAATTAATTATAACGGATTTCAATATTAACCAATGTGTGTAAAGTGCATAATTTCAACAATGTACAATCAATAAACTATTATTTTTTTCTAACAAAACTTATTCAATTAAAAAAAAATGAAATACTGTAGTATTTGTTTTTGTGTTGTTTTTTTTTCAATGACGGTCACTGGTTTATGATCAGTTTTATTTATTCATGGAATTGTTGTGATATTGACCTAAAAATCGATATCTCGATACCCGGTTAATTTATAAGCTAATAAAAACATATATACCAACTTGGCGGTTCTTTCAGACTAATTGTATATTGGTTGATGTATTATTTTAGTACGCTATTTATATGGCTCTTGTAAGGACGTTCCAATTATGTATAAATAAACTCGATTTGTGTGCTTGTGGGCCTCATATTTTCTGAGTGCTTGTAGAATACACATCCTACGCCATATCAAGACTTCTTCATCTACTTAATGGGGCCTTGGGATGATAGGGTCACTGGATCATTTGTCTTTGCTCTCGTTTATCGACTAAGGTGAACTCGAAATTGTTCAAGCGTATCAATGTATATTAGCCAGCTAGGGGATGCTGGTAATGCATAGATGAGCCAGTTGAGTTAACCAATGTTTATTGATTCAAATTTAACTGAAACTGTATATTAAACCATGATATTAGTCAGTTATACTCAACTGAATCCCCATTTATATGCCAATGAAGAAATGAGTTTTAGTTGATGTATGCATTTAACCCAATAAGTAGAAATATAAGAGAATGAACTATTGTTCAGAATACTAATCTTTGAAAATAGTTAGATGAAGGTTTGTTTTGAATTTTAGATTCGTCTGACAAAATTCACTTGAAAATATCAACCTAGAGGAGTTGATGAAACATTCACGATATATGATGAGATAAATAGACGTCTAACTATTTTCCTATGGTTACGGGTTATCAAAAACTAGTCAAAAAAGGAACATTTTTAAATGAATAAAAATATTTGTCTGAAACATTATTGACTTATGTTCGTTGGTCAGACATTATCAGCAACAACTTACTGTGGGAGAGAACAAACTAGATTCCAGTGGAGGAAGAAATCAGGAAGAAGCGGTGGAAGTGGATAAGACACACACTACGAAAAGCACCTAACTGCATCACAAGACAAGCCCTCACATGGAACCCTCAAGGTCATAGAAAAAGAGGAAGGCCAAGGAACACATTACACCGAGTAATAGAGAAAGATGTGAGAAGAATGAACAAAAACTGGAAAGAACTAGAAAGGGAAGCCCAGGACATAGTTGGTTGGAGAAAACTGGTTGGCGGTCTATGCTCCATTGAGGGTAACAGGCATAAGTAAGCAAGTAAGTATTTTTGATCAACCTGTTACTGCTCAATCGTTTCTAAAAGTCAATGTGATGAAAAAATATGTAAGAAAATAAAAACAAAGAAATCTAACAAATTTTGAAATTAATGTTTTACCTGTCCAATAAATAATTGAACTTTATTTCCTGTCGTTGAATCGATAAAATCAACTGGTATGGCACTGCATATCGGTGAACCAAGACCATCACGTAGACATAAGTCGTTTAAATTCTAAAAATTTAAACAAAAAAAAAAAAAAACAGAACAATGTACTTCTCCATAAATAGAATGTTTCATTTACTTGATAATGATCGGTGAGTTGGAAAGAAAAACACACACACACATGCACACACACAATTATTTAATACATCCATGTTAGACGATCACAGATAAATTAATTTATGAACAAACAAAGTATGATTACATTGAACATTGATTCACATATATTTATGTACATACATATAAGCAGATTTTGTATGGTAAGAATATGATTGCAACAAAAAAGAACATGACAAATTATAAGTGTGAGATTCAATAGCTAAAAGAAAGAACGAATCATTGTGAGCACTGTGAGCAGCAATACAATCAAATGTGCACACCTCATTGTATCATTGAAGAATAAGAAAGAAGCTTAATCACAATAATTGTATGATAGTTTTTTTTTGATTCGGCAAAGAGTGCACATTGCATGATATGCATTATTTTAGAAAGGAACAAAAAGAACCAACCTCTAATAAAGCCAACGGATTCAACTGACGTTGCTGTAATTTCTACGGCAAGAAAAAAGTGATTACGATGATGATGATGATGATTATTGAAAAAGAAAATAATTTTTAACTAACTTAAAGGCATATTTGATAATGATAGGTTTAGTAGTAAGTAGTATATTAATATTTTTTGTACACAATAATGTAAATGGAAATCATATATTATTATACAAACCAATTTTCATCTGCAGTATTAAAAGGAAAAATTTGGAAGTAATCAGAAATTGTCTACGAGATTGTACAATTTTTGTTTTTTTTTGCTGATAACCAAAGGATCAGTAAGTAAGATAGTCGGTCAGTTAGAAAGAAGATGAACCAAATATATTTTTTCTTTCTCTTCGAAAAATGGCAAACTATTCATTGGATTAAGTCAAGATGTTTTCTATTTTTATATAGAAAAGAATTTAATTTACTCGAAAAATCAAGCAAATCATAGTGTTGATAAATGTAGTTGGGTTATCTGTTTTTATTTGTTGACGATTGTGTTTATTTGGCTTATCAATCTGAATATAACTGATAATTTATAGGTCCTACATGATAAGTATACTACAGGAGTTATGTAATGAAATGCCGGTATAGAGAGAATTCGATAAATCGGTTACAGCTATCATGCTGAGTTATGTTTCATAATGTCAAGGTTGTAGATACTATGAAGCAGTTCAAACAGCAGTGAAGTGAATGGGTTAGGATTTAGGAACTGGAGCACAATGCTAAGAAATTGTGCTTTCATTAGTCAATCCTTGCAGCTAAGTAAACATAATATAACATAAACCAATGTTAATCAGTCAGTCAATTACAACGTAGTACTTCATACGTACGTTCATGAATGCAGGCCGTCATACCACATAAGCGCAGAGACGCAACTGTCAGTGCAAATCCCATAGTGAAAAACATAGTAGAAGTATTACTAGTAACGGAGAAGATTAGGATCAGAAGATTTAATTCAAGAAAGATAATTCAGTGAGATGAATTTAAAGAGAGAAAGATAGAGGTGATGAGGAATTCAGAAGGTTAGAATTTGAGAGAACACAAATAATAGACGCAACTGCATCATTGCAAACGATTCTCAGCCATGTCGTTCAATGTTTCTAACCATAGGTTACTATCGTCTCGCAGACCCCAACCAGGTAGTCTACATCTATCGGCATGACTCAGTCTACTTGTTAGTGACTTCATGGATTTGTGCCATGATTTGGTTTGGCCGCCCCTAGCTTTCTGCCAACCTACTCCTACACCACAAAACATTGCTTGTTCAGGTAGTCGGTGGTTGTGCATTCATAACACATGTCCCAACCACCTCAACTGATGAAGTTTTACTACTTTATCTATTGATTTGTCATCCCCATCTAGTAATCGATTCCTAACTATAGCATTGTCTCAGGATATACGAGAAATGCTTGGAAGACATCTATAATCGAATACTAATCACCTAAGAATATCTTCAACTCTAACCGGACTGCTTTGGTTAGCAAAAACCAATATTAATATGAAAGTTTAGGTTTGAGTGAATAAGTAACTTTTTTATGTGACGATGAATGGACTTGAAATATGTTATAATTAGTATAATATGAAGGATATTTTATTAGTGCAAACTTTAAACATTGTTTGTAAACAAGATAAATATATGATGAAATGCCTTAACAACACTACATCTGCAATAGACTGTGTTATTGAAAATGTGTTTTTAACGTCAATAGGTAGATAGATTGTTTGTTTCAATTCATTAGGATTCAGTTAATTATCAATAAATATATTATTTAAATTATACTTTAGCTGACATTCTAATCAATTTCAATAATATATAATCGAAACACACATATTTCGTGCAATGTATATGCAATGCAATGCAATATATTATTTTGATATAATAATAATAATAATAGAAAAATAATCATCATTGCTATAGATACCAAATGATCGATTGATCATTGAACAACTAACTGTCTTCTATTTTTTTTATTTCATTGAACATGTAAAATAAATAAAATAAATAAGCAAATTGTGTTGTTTGTTTACTTTCAACTTTTCAGTAAACATGTTTTTTTAATATTATTATTTAATAGAAACACTCATTTATACCGAATTTTGAGCTTAATAATCGAATGCATTTGCCTTTTTACAACAAAGCGAAATTATTATTATTCAGTTATTTGGTTAAATAAAAATTAGATTGTTAATGTTGTTTCAATGATCATCACATTATCAGATTTTATTAATTCATGGATGGATGGAACACAGCAATTCAAATCATGAAATAATAATTATCATTATTATTATTGCTAGTTATGTAATCAGTATAAGCGTTAAATTGAAGTAAGTAAGTAAGTAAGCAAGTAAGTAAGTGAATGATAGTTTATCAAAGAATCTGGCTTCATTTATATTATATAGATATATAGATAGATAGATATATGAATGATGAGTATATAGAGAGGTGTTGAACTAATCGGTATGAAGAATATGTTGTTATAAAAACACAAAGCGGAAATTATTACTCTCATCAGTTGTGATTACACCATGAAAGAAAAAAAAACAACTGATCGTGTCTGTGATGTTTATATGCACATAGATCTATCTCTATTATATATACACAGATTGGTATTGACATTAAAATGAGTTGAGAGAGCAGCCAGCACACACACTAATTTTTAATAGTTTTGTGTTTTATTAAATGATCAATTTTCACAAGTAGAGCATCGAATAAAATAGCAAAAATTTAGAAAAACAATCATTTCTACTAATTATCGGTTAATTCAAACCAAAAATAAATTATCAATTGAGGTTGTAGCAAGAATTTTATTATTACGGTAGAAAAACATTGATCACATTGTAAGTAAGCAATTTCACATTTTGTGAGTGTGTTGCCTCCTTAATGGAAGTTTCAAAAGAAATGAATGATATTTTTGTTGATTTAGCTCTAATTAAAACAAATAATAATAATAATAATGTGGATTAAAAAGGTTACTTGTGTTCTTTAATTATCGTTGTGTGTGTGTGAGTGTGTTTGGTTTTTCAATCGTATAGTACACTATTATTTTTTTTTTCATGAGAGATATAAAAACTTACTAACTGATCGTATAAACGCCATTGATGCTTAGCCTTGCCTCAAATTATTCACAAGATAGGATAGAAAAAGGAATTAGATATTAAAAAAATACATATATATATGTAAATACATACCAAAACATGGTGAGTTAAAACATGGTAAAACTGGATGATTGTCATAATACACTCGATGAAGATATGCTGCTTATGATTGAGGAATCCGCTTCAGTGAAACATCCAACATATGAGAATCCTTTGGTTGTAAGCATAGAATTCCTCCGTAAAGTGTATACACTAGACCATCATTGAGAAGAATCAAGCCCGGAACCTCTAGTTTTACGCAGTAACACTAAACCGTGGTGCAAAAGTGGTAACGTTGGATGCCGGCCCAGTGGTCCGATGGTTAGGCGTTCGCGCACAATACCGAAGGTCCCGGGTTCGAATCCTGTAAGGTGCAGGAGTCGTGCATGCGCACTGCCACTGATGGGTAGTCCCATACCAGGACGAAACGGCCGTCCAGTGCTTCCAGGTTTCTAACAGTGGTCTAACAATGATTGATTGATGATTTCAAAAATGTGTAAAAACACAAATCTCCGAAGATCTAACTGAAAGTGACGTTAATCAATACATGATGTCGTTCAAATATCGGTCTCTGATATATCCATAGGATGCTTCTAGGTTTTCAATGATTGTCTAACCTGGATCGGTTCATGGTCTTAAGACAATTCAACAACTTCCACAACTCACATAGTGACTTATTGATTGAGTGATCATCAATTCACTTATGACACAATAGTGGTAAATGCCTTTGTCTAATCAGTTTTGTAAACGAGCTTTAGTTAGAATTCTGTTCAATAGCATACAAAAATTATGCTCAGAGGACAAGTTTAAGGAGGAATCAATCATTGTTGAAAAGTGTTTGGATGATAATGATTGTCCACGAATGTTTATCAAAAAATATGGGAAGATAAGAACGAAAATAACAGTATATATTTATTCAGTAGTGGGAGAAGAAATCTGTTTTCATACGATTTGGATTCAAAAATGATGAATTATCTTGTTATATTGTTTTCAGACTTGGAGCTGAATTGAAAAGAATATATCCAGCTGCAAAACTGGTCTCAATTTATCATACAGAGTGCTCATTGAGACATTCAAAAGTGAAAAAAATTACTCACCTTACGTTACCTTCAATTATATATACCAATTTACATGTATGCGCCGAATCACATACATTGACAGAACAGAAAGGAGACTTAATGCTCGTATCACTGAGCATACTCCTTAAAAAGTAAAACTATGAAGTCAACTTGTCTTCAAAAGTTCGACTGCCTGTTGTCCACTTGATAGTGGACATGATGTTGAGATTTCAACATCGTTCAAAATTATTAATACACAAACATCCTCAAAAGTTATTACATTTCGTTGAGGCAATTGGTATAAAAAGACGCAAACTAGACTTATGTTTTCGAAATGTCTCTTACGTAAATCACTTGTATTAGATAATTTGAAAGATTTATTTTTTTAAGTTGATGTTACGAAACAGTGAAATTGTGTAGAATTTCTCGTACTTACTTACTTACCTACTTACTTACGCCTGTAACTCCTAATGGAGCATAGGCCACCGACCAGTATTCTCTAACTTACTCTGTCCTGGGTTGATTTCATGTCAGTTAATGTATTAGCTGTAACCAAAATGGTCTACTGTAAGCTTTTCTAAATTTGTGTATAGTGACTGGTCATTGAAATTTTAGTCAAATGTACCATATCGGTTGGACCTGGTGACAGCAAGCACGATATAATTCATCAGTCATTAAAGTAACAAGTAACTAATTGTAAGAGATAATGAGTTTATATTCATGGAAGTAGTAATAGTTTGTTGACTATCTACTTAGTTGGTTTTGGAGGATCTCCAAATATATAATCATGAATTGGTTCATAGTCGATTGTTGAAACGTTTCCACTATCTCAGAGCTTTTTGAGTTCGTTTATTAAAGTAATATTAAATTAAGGCCTATCTTAATTTTAACCTCATTTGTATACTTCCTTTATTAGATAGTAATACTTATTTGTTCAATTGTTTATATTACCACAAACTTTAACAAAACATTCAATATATTTATGGTAGAAGAGTGTTTCAAAATGAAGCTTTACTCCGTCAACTTCTAGTTTCGATTATTAGATTGTCTTAATTTTACACCTGTATTGTTATAACCCTTTGATTGATTGCCTCCATAAATAAAAGTAGGTGCATTCTAGTTGCATATCATGTCGTTTAGCCGACCTTTTCTCTTCCAGATCCAACCATGCACTACTCCGCATTTCAGCAGACAAAAATCATTCAGTTTAGACATAAACTTTACAAAGATTGGATGTTATAGTTGGAACTATAAAAATTACATCATTCACTATTGATCTAGCTGTACAATGATAGAAAAAGGGAATATTTTACTTCCCGTTCTATCAGACGGCTTGTCTTTCGTTGTTCACCTACGTTTTGGTGAATTACACTGAAATTTTGTTAAAATATGAAAATGGCTGACTATAATAATAACCTTCGACATTGAAGTAGTTAATTTTTAAAGTAGAACACTAAATCAAGTGTTTTAATCAGTGGTTTCAGAAGAACCGTTTAATTTGAATTCGGATTCAAATAGATCCGACTAATTAGTCTCAAATGCGAAAAAACATGTTTTCTGAATCCTATTCCATTTTATAAAAATTGTGATAGTTTGACAATGTCGAGACCATCCACAGAACATACATGTCAACACGATTGATTGGAATTCATTCCGCATTATCAACAACGGAACAATTTGAAACCTTACTAAAAATATTATTTTTATCATGGTTCATGATGTCCGTTAAAGAATAAAAAAGACTTTCTATGACAAAAGAGACCAAGAAATTTAATGTGATGAATAGCCATGATTCAATTAACTAATATAAAGGTTGAAAACTTTCTTCTAAGTATGAAAGTACTGGTATCGATCTTAGCATGATGTAACTAGAGTAGCAGCCAATGTGAGTATTCTGAGTTTTACGGGATCTCGAACTCATGGTGTACATTATGACAATCATTTATTTATTTAAACTATCAGCAGTCAGTGTGTCTACCTTAGAGAATCATGGTTGAATGTACAATCTATCACAAATATAAACTGTTTGCCAATCAGAATCATTGAAATTCTGAGCCAATTTAAGTTAGTAAGATAGTTAATACACTTTATAGTATCATAATTTACGTCTGTTCGTTGACAGTTGATTGTTATTTCATTGGTAACTCAAATTGTGTTGTGAATCAATGAAAAACCTTTTTTTTTAATTTGAGACGCAATCCTTTGCAGTTTTAGTCAATCAATCTAAAGTGTTACCATGATTTCATTTCAATATCATCCGATTGTTGTCATTTCTAAGCCAAATTCAATTCAAAGCATAAAACTACTTACTTTACAAATTCTTGAAGACACTAACTAGAAAGTCTATAATATTTTGGTGCATAGTTATAATGCACAATTTTTTTTTAAATAGGCTAGTGATTCTCATCTAGAGCACTTTTTCTTCATAGTTAAAAGGAGCTTACCTAGATGTCTCTAGGTGATAAAGAGTTTTTTTTTTGATATAAGAGTATTGAATAAAACAAGTTAAACTCATCGGAACTATCATTTCTTCTCAGAACCTATTGAATTCTATTATTGAGAAATGAATGAAATAGATAGAATGGAAGCTGCTATTTTTTTTTTCATTGGACTCATCATGGCTAATGGTATTTCAGTCTGAACATGACACTGAAACATCTATCAAACGCTTAATGAATTTTATCATGATGATTACTTTGAACATTGATTGATATTTGATATGTCGACAACTCAGTTGTACAATGGAATTATTTTCATCTGTAGGCAGGAGGCATACTATATAACCAACCAGGTTGAAAGTGATAGAAAATTATTGAGCTTTTATTATAAATTCATCAGAATTAATAAACAAATAATTATTTATTGTGAATTTATTTATTAACCTTTTGTTAAACTTGTATCATTAATTTTGTTAAAATAATTCATATATATATATGTACATATATAAATTGTTACAGAGATAAAATGAAAATGTATAAACCGGAATTGGAAATACTGTTGTAAAATATTTATTATTATTTATTCTAATGTAAACAAATCAACGAGTCCGTTTTTTTTATTGATTTTAATGATTTTAGCGTATATTCATTCTTTACACTTATATATGTAGATAGCAGCCTCCTGATAAACTGAAAGTTGTTATATTATTAATGAACTTGTAGTTGGAATTAACGTCTACATTCTCTATAAAGTTATAGAAATGAGGTGAGCATGTTTATTTATACAGTCTGTCTGTTGTGTTAGTATCATCATCTTTCATCTTGTAAACTTGGTCATAATTAACTAGATTCTTCACTGTACAAAATAAATTCATGTAACAGTTTACATTAACTAACTGTAAGTTAAATAAATAACTGCTCGACGCAACGCCTTTATATTATTTAGACAAAACATTAATATTGTGCAGGTACTTTTAAAAATGATGTACATTGTGAAACGAGATGAATAGTTTCTACTGTTATAAACATCTAATCATTCAAATGAATAATAGAAATTAAATTAATCTATCTATATAAAATAAATGATTCTATTTACTCACTTCTACAGGATGTTTACGATCTTTTTGTGCTCCAGCACTTCGACTACCAGCTGCATTTCTTCGACCCGTCGTTCTTGAACAATTATTCAGTTTTATACCACTAGTAAAAAAAAAGAAAAGATTGTCAATAGTGTATGATATCTTATCAGTTTCATTGGATTCTTGTTATTGTTCGAAAAAATGTTTAAATATGTAATTAATTACATTGTGTCTAACTGAAAATACAAACAGTACCAGGTATGGATAGAGTGCGTTATTTGTTAATAGTTGATGTCGGCCGACGATATCTGTATCAATAAAAAGTTCAGAAGGATCATGGAGGACGAGGGAACCAAGAGAGAAGCTGACACCAGCCTCAGATCACCACTTGCTGGTCGCCGAAATGAAACTGAAACTCAAGAAACACTGAAAAACGTGGCAAACAACATCACGGCCTTTCTTCGGGATACTGACAAACTTGACGAATTCAAGATAGACCTCAACAATGGGTTTGAGGCTTTGCACGATCAACTCAATGGGGAGAAAACAGCTATGGACAGCGATTGGAAAAAAGATCAACGAGGCAATCACTTCAGCATGTTTGGAGATTCTGGGCTACAAGAAGTACCATCACAAGGAATCGAATCTGTTGGTACTCTTACAAAAATTGAAGAAAGGAGGAATAAGAAGGCAACAATCAACAACAACCAAACAAAAGCATAGAAAGCCAAGGCAGAAGCTAAATACAAAGTGGAAAACAAACAAGTGAAGAGGAACATCAGAGCTGACAAACGAAAATATGTGAAGATCTATCAGTGAGGGCGGAAGAGACTGCAAGAGAAGGAAACATGACACAATTGTACGATAGAACAAAGAAGCTCGCTGGAAACCATCGAAAACAAGGACGACGAGTGAGAATCAAGAAAGGCGAAGTAATCAGCAACACTGAGGAACAGAAAAATAGGTGGGTAGATCACTTTAAGGAACTCTTGAATCAACCAGCTCCTCTGAACACACGCGACATCGAAGCAGCATCTACGGACCTACCAATCGATATTGACCCACCGACAGTTAAAGAGATCAGTATTTCCATCAGAAAAATCAAGAGCTGCAAAGCAGCAGGACCAGACAACATTCCAGCAGAGACAGTGAAGGCAGACGTGGTAGCAACTGCAAGAATATTTCACATTCTCTTCAACAATATTTGGGATGAAGAACAAGTACCAACAGATTGAAAAGAAGGATTCCTCATCAAAATATCAAAGAAAGGCGATCTCACCAAGTGCGAGAACTACAGAGGCATTACTCTCATTTCAGTACCAGGCAAAGTCTTCAACCGGATGTTGTTAAACAAAATTAAGGATTTCGTACACGCCCAACTTCGAGACCAAGTGGCTGGATTTCGTAGGGATCGACCGTGTACCGACCAAATCACAACGTTACGGATAATTGTGGAGCAATCAATTGAATAGAACTCGCCGATCTACATCAACTTCATCGACTACGATAAGGCATTCGAAAGCGTGGATAGGAAAACACTGTGGAGGCTTCTTCGACACTACGGCGTGCCTGAGAAGATAGTCAACATCGTACGGAATTCTAACGATGGATTAAACTGCAAAATCATGCATTGAGGATAGCTGACAGAATCGTTTGAGATGACGACTGGTGTCAGACAAGGTTGCTTACTCTTACCCTTTCTCTTTCTCCTGGTGATCGACTGCATTATGAAGACATCAACATCTGGAGGGAAGTACGGTATTGAGTGGACAGCTAGGACACAGCTGAACTTCGCAGATGACCTGGCTCTTCTATCACACGCAAAACAACAAATACAATAGAAGACGACCAGTGTAGCAGTCACCTCAGCAGCAGCAGATCTCAACATACGTAAAGTGAAAAGCAAGATTCTGCGATACAACATTACATGTGCCAAACAAATTACTATCGATGGAGATGCCTTGGAGGACATAAAAACATTGGCATCATCACTGCCGAGCAAGGTGGATCTGATACACATGTCTAGGCACGGATCGGCAAACAAGGGCTACATTTCAACAATTAAACAACATCTGGAACTCAAAACAACTGTCAAAAAACACTGTAGTCAGAAATTTCAGTACAAATGTCAAGACAGTTCTACTGTATGGAGTAGAAACCACGAATGCCATCATCTAGAAGATACGAGTATTAATTAACAGTAGTCTACTGAGGATCCGTTGATCAGACAGCATCACCAACACCCAGATTCCAGCGAAGGAGGAAATCAGGAAGAAGCGATATAGGTGGACAAGACATGCATTGAAGAAGGCACCCAACTGTGTCACAAGACAAGCCCTCACTGGAAGTCCACAAGGCGAAAAGAAAAGATGGAGACTAAAGAACACATTAAACTAAGTATTCGAGACAGAAATGAAAAGAATGAACAACAATTAGCTAGAACTAGGATAGAAGATCCAGGACAGAGTAGGTTAGAGAATGCTGGTCAGTTGCGTAACCTCGTTTAATGGTCATAAGAGTGTGTATGTTAGTAAGTAGGCCAGTCAACGATGAAGACAATCTTAAATCGAAATGAAATTACTCTACCTTCAAAGGTGACTAATTTTAGAAACCGTAAGTGATTTAAAACTATTCCGAGAAGAGAACTGTTTACTTATGTTATGTTATCTTATTTATAATAAGTAAGATCTATTACAAATATAGTAACAATGAACATATAATGAAACGTACAGAAATGTCAAGTGTCAAAAGATTGCTGCCTCATCATGACCGAGAAGTGAGTGAAAAATCATTTAGATAAAAATAAATTTATAACTTTTTATTTAATTATAAATACTATTACTATTATTATAATTGTTAGTTTCAGTTTCGCAAATATCTATTGAGAATCTCAGACATTCTTCTTCATAGTCTTCAAATATTCAACCATCATCATTGGCAGCCTAATAGAATTGCGTTGAGATGCAAAACACCGGTAATGTAAACGATCATACCTTAGAAACATTTGAACATCTGCATCGTTGTTATTACCTCAGTCAAGCCATTTTATGTGGGCTCAATTAACTAATAGAAATATCCTCTTTGTTTATCAACTCTATAGAGAGAATAATATTGTAAGATTGTTTGCCTGTAACACGAAGAGCTTTGCATATGAAGTCATGTAGTAAAGATTTATTTAGATTGCTGTTGTTGTTTTTTAAAATCATACTCACCTAGGACTGCCAAGATTAATATCAGTACGTCCAGAATTTATTATATTTGAATTAGTCGGCAAAAGATCCGTTGCCATAGGTGTACCTTGTGCAGTAGACGGTAAGAAAAATGGTGAAGTTGACTCCAACTGAGGCAGTATTCCTCCAGCTGCTACAACAGCTGTCGCTGCAGAAATCATATTCTGATCATTTGAAAGAATTAATTCATTTATTAATCTTCCAGGTGTACGAGAAGGTTGTTGTCGTGTGTTCAATTCATTCTTGTCAACTGGTTTTGCCCATGTTACTTCGATCTTGGAACCATCAATATAAGTATCTGTAAACAAACAGTAAGATGAATAGTTAGCATAACATTTTAATGTGTAGAAAAGTACTTAAACAGTTGGAACTAACTTAAAACTCTTATTTTTATTCACAGCTGAGGGTTTATGTAGAGTTGGCTGAATATCACATCTTGTATGCTATCAAGAAGCATTCTACTACTTGAAATTGTTGAATAAAACTAGAAAAATACATTCACAATTTATAATTTAATTATGATCAATTAAATATGTATTGTGTTTATAAATTATTTAGGATCCATTAATGTCAATGATTCAGGCTGACTGAACTACAATCCTTGCTTTGATAGTAATTTTAAGTAGTATGATGTAAACAGCTTTTAAATTTCATAGACAACACGCCCTCTGAACCATGGTTCAAATGACAGGATAACAAATTTAGTGTAACTTTAAATTATTTCAGCATGTGCATATGTCCGGGATTTGATATAAACACTGTTAAAGAAATTTATATCACCTTAATATCCAATTTACAGCATATGAAGTCGATTATAAACGTGGAATTTCATCGTTCACAAGTTAACTCATAACGTGTATGTCATTTCTTACTTACCTTCCGACATTGTAGTTTTATTGTTAACGGATACAATCGTTTTTTTTCAGTTGTTAATTGCATTTTATTGGCATTATAACTGTAAAATAAAAATATTGACTTATATTTTCCTGTCCGTTCCCTAAAAAGTGATGGGCTCTTCGGAGGCGCGCACCCACGACGTAGTCAAGGAATGAGATTAATCACTTAAGTTTAAGTAAGAGGTTGGAACTGATGAGGTTCAATCACACGTAGAAAGAAAAAAAAATTGTTAATCACTAGACTGAATGATTGTCACGTCACATCGCCAACTGATTTCAGTTATAAATATGCACTGTTTGCCACCCACATTCAATAGTGCAGAGGGGTTGAGAGTTTCCACCCTGAGACCTGTACGTCTTGATTCCATTACAAACTAAAACAAAACAACTGTCTAGTGTTGCTTGGTCTTTAACAACACCCTACGTGACCTTGTCAAGCATATTCTACAGCATAAAGTAATCTTTACAAAACTAAATTATTTAAAGGAATATTAAATTAGAAAATATATCAGTACTGTTAGATATGTGCTTGATTCTGTTTTTCTTCAGATTGCCAGACTTATATCTTTTCACAAGATAGAAAAATAGAAAATAGAAAATACATTGTTGTCCTTAGTAAAATATCATCTGAGTTAGTGTAAGCCAATTCTACTAAAATGTCTGAAAATGAATGATCATTAAGCAAGTTGAATCGATCGATCGCATTACAACAGAAAACGTAGTATTTACAATTTATTCCTACATAATAATCCTGAGAAAATACTGATTATCAAGGACGGGTATAAATATGTTTTTTGTTGGAGAAAATACTATTTTAAGAGAAATAAACATAGAAAAAAATTGACATACTTCACCCCCTGTACTATAGAGCGTGGAATAGGGAAATAATTATACTTAAAATTTTGATTCCTATAGAAATGTCCATAGATGTAAGCCACTTGACGCGAAACTTCATTTACTGTTCTCGGACAAACCTTATTACAATCACCAGAATGATATCAGTTTCATGTCAGATATGTCGCAGTTGAAAAGTTTAACACACAAATTGACTGTTGATTTATACATTACATTTTATTTTAATGCTTTAGATTCCCAGTGGTGTCAATTTTTGAAAGTGACCAAGAATACGTTTCTAGGAAAAAGTAATGCATAAGACGTGTTAGTAATCGAAAAACAATGAATATCAATCTAACCAAAGAGAACTTCATTGTTTACGAACCGTACATGAGTGGGTAAATCTTGTCACTCTGATAGAACATCCTCTTAACTACCCCACCCGAAGAAGTCTCTGAAAGACATGACATCTTTTATAGATAAATCTGACAAGATCATGGTCATCATGATTGGTTACGCGCTGAAGTGTTAAATATTATCTTAGGCTCATTTAGGAAAGTGAGTAGACTACGTTTTGTACGACTATTTACGCTAAAATCGTATTACACATAGCAAATGTTGCTCACCAATTATTTAGCGTCTGCATCTTGAGTTGTTAGAATTCAAGTTAAACATCAATGTAGCATCAATGAGGAAGTAAAGGGTTTTACAACAACAACTTTATAACACAGTAAACAATCTACATTTAGGATAAAAACCTGTAACCTTTCCCTAAACTATCAGTCAATAACTGTGACAGAATTTACTGAATCTGATTTTTTTTGTATAGTATCTGTATTCGCAGATGCTAGATCGTGCTTTCACATAATCAGTTTGTTCCTGTACTTTAATTGATCATGATGAAAAATAACTCATCATGATTGGATGATCACCTACCTAGACATTGGAATTTACTTTCAAAGTTTGATGAAGTTGAATTGTGACTGACATTTTAAATTCCCATTCAAAGTTAAGATTATCGCACTATTTAAGTGGATTACGCTGAATTCACAAATACATGTGACTAGATATAGAGTTGCTTTCAAACTAAGAAGAATAACCATCATGGGATAGTTTAATTAGAGTACTTCAATCTTTTATGGGCAAAATCACCTAAATATATATAAGACTTTTATATTCAAAGTTCATATTCTAGCCATTTATTACGACAAGAATATTAGTTGACAAGCAGTTACATGAATTCATGTTATAGCATAGATTTTTATCAACTGCTGACAAACGTAATCTTGATTGGACTGAACTGAACAATATTATATGATGCGAAAATTACCGACAATCTTTAAAATAACTAAAAGTTATCAATGAAGTTATCTAATTGAAAAGTCATTTAGTCAATATGCAAAAAAAAAATACACACAAACTCTCATCTCAAATGAATTGTTATCTAAAGTAGTCATTGAAAATCGATTAGTCTCTTCGTATGCTAATATAAAAGCTATGTCTACTATATATCAATTATACGGACGTGATAAAACTCAGAAACCGGAAGAACAAAAAATAAAAATGATTAGTTTAATTTTAGAAATACTTTTTTTTTTAAAAAAAAAGAGCAGCTGCTAGTGAATGAATGAATGAATCAAACGCGCTAAAATCTATATAATTGTGGAATTGTGTGACTGACATTCGATCGATAATAAGTTGTTTTATCATGTCGATATTCTCTTTAAAATTGACTAATACAACCAGTTTAAAAAACAACAACAACAACAACAACACAGTTTGTTGTATTAAATAGAATCAGCTGTTATTGCAACAATTCTTAATGTCTAAACATTCTTTTTAATGGGTGATGAAAGTTGTTTGGTTATGGAGCAGTAAGCATAATGTGAATTTTCTAGTTCCGTCTTGATTCATTTATATCTTGACTTTGTGACTTGCTCTGATTGTCTGTTGTGTCATAATCCAGTTCAATAGAAAGAATTGTGTTAAACCTTTGAGTGTTCTCGAGAAAATTACGATATTTTTGAAACCGTGAATCGATCAATGTTAGACCATCATTATAAACCTGGAAGCACTGGACAGCCGTTTCGTCCTGGTATGGGACGCCTACAATACCGAAGTTCGTGGGTTCGAATCGTGCGGGGTGTAGGAGTCCTGGATGCGCACTCCCATTGATGAGTAGTCCCATACCAGTACGAAACGGCTGTCCAGTGCTTCCAGGTTTCTAATGATGGTCTTACATTGATCGATTCATGGTTTCAAAAATGTGTAACTTAACAATCTTCCCAACCACGTAATGAAAATTACGATATAACAACATCTTGCGCATTTTCATTATCTGGTTAATTTATGTCTAACCCATCATCATATAAAATTTTCACCTATAAATCGATTACCTAAGACATAAATAAAACCCTTGTCATTTTAACCAAATAAAGTTTACTATGTCAGTTATATACCGCTATATTGATTCGATTAAGATATTTCAGTAATTTTATGAAAGTTCCAACCATTCGACAAGATAATTTGAAGCATAACAAATGTGTCAGTCAGTTAGTGAGAACGTAGTACTTCGTACGAACGTACATAAGTTCAGGTTGCCATACCATATTAGCACAGAGACGCAACTGTCACTTCAAATCCCATAGCGGTAGAGATAGTAGAATTATTACTGGTAATGAAAAAGATTAGGGTTTGAAGTTACCATTCAAGAAGTATAATTCAGTGTGATAAATTTAGAAAGAGGAAGATAGAGGTGATGAGGAATTCCGAAAATTACACATTCATAGAACATACCGAGTGGATGCACCTGCGCCATTGCAAACGATTTTGAGTCATGTCATTCAAGGTCTCTATACACCACAAAATATAGCTCGTCGAGGCAGTCGGTGGTTGGATATACGTACCACATGTCCCAATCACCCTGACTGATGAAGCCTCACGACTTCATCCATTGGTCTGCTATTATTACATGTACCCATTTCTCAACGACAGCATTGCTTACCAGGTTGTCCCTTGATACACGAGCAATGTTTCGAAGACATCTATAATCGAATACTAACAACCTACGAATATCCTCAACTCTGACCGGCCATGTTTCACAGCCATATAGTTGGACGGGGAGAACTACTGCTCAGCAAAAAGATTTCTCGCCTACGCCATAAGTGACGCAAGTTCTTAAAAGCCATTCGAGCATCCTGTATCCATATTGAGATTTCATGAGTCGCCAGGCTAATAGCATTGATGAGACTCCCGAGATAAATGAAGCGGTCAACACACTGAACTACCTCACCCCTTATTACTAGTTCAGATGCCGATGCAACTGTTATTCATATTGTGCTGAAACGCATAGAATACGTTATTAAGTGAAAAAGTATGTGTTAGTATGATAGCACCTCGATAACTTCACCAGAAGTTGGCTAGTCAATAAATGTTTGTCAGTATAAGATGAGTTTATGAAGATAAATAACAGTAAATAAGAAGTCATATATTTTACATCGTAAAATAACAACTATTCACCTATATTTAAAAAAAAGATTAATCACAAGCTATGTCAATTATGGTTAACAGTTATTAACACTCTATGAATTCCACCTTTTCGGTTTTAATTCGAATGAGGACTAACATAAACCAGTTTCACCTTAAACAATGCTTCCTCAACATTCATTAACTAACTTAAAATATGCTAATACTTTGATATTTTTTTTGTTTTCAAAAATGAAAAAAAAGAAACAACAAGAAAACCCATTGACACATTGAATTTCGGTTAACTCATGTGAAACGCTTGTATTGAATGAATTATCATTGTATCATTGTAAGGATAAGCTACTCTTTTTCGGTACTTTAATTTAATGTGCTACAATCTAAGTAACACGGAAAATAACCGATAAAAAAAACGCTACATCTACCTAATTAGCATAAGTTTCGCCAAAAATAAATGCGATTTCACTCATAGATAAATGTGCACTGTTTTTTTTTTTTTGTTTTCACTAAAGATTACAAAATTATTATTATTTACACCAATGTTGACTACCAAAAGAATAAGTGAGATTTACATATATATAATTTTATCTTGTTTAATGCAACCAGGTGTATATATATATATATATATATATATATATATATATATATATATATTGATTACAATTTTCAGGTATTTTGCAAGTTAATAATAATAATAATGATAATCTAACACTTGGTACACTGAATAATTAACTCTTTACCTAATTATGTAAAAATTAAAATAACAACAGAGATAGATACCTATGCAAATAAACTTACACAACCAATGAATTCAGTATCACATTCACAACTGTAAAATGTAAACTGGATTGATTAATTTTTGCGCCTATTCCAAAGTTTAACTTAACTAATAAACAATTGTGATATAGACATTTTTGAAACCATGAATCGATGATCAATGTTAGACTACCATTAGAAACCTGGATGCACTGGACGGCCGTTTCGTCCTGGTATGGGACTCTTCAGCAGTGCGCACTGCTGACTTAACTTAACAATCTTCACAACTCCGTAATGCAAATTGTGATATAATTGAATGCTGCAATTTAGTGATTAAGAGTGTTGGAAATCTAAAAATTATTATGTCATAACTATTTTATGGTATTAACTATCAAGCTATTTAATTACTAAATGTACAATAAGGTATCTATAGATATTCTTAGCACCGATAGATACCGGCTCAATGGTCCAGAGTTTAGGCTCTAGCGCACAAGACCAAAGCTCATGGCTTCGAATCCTGTGACGGGCAGAAGTCGTGGATGCGCATCGCCATTGATGAGTAATCCCATACCAGGACTAAACAGCTGTCTGTCAGTGCTTCTTCCAAGTTTCTCATGGTGGTCTAACGTTGATTGATTGGTTCATGATTTCAAATGTGTACCTTAACCTTAATCTTCACAACCCCATCATTTATTAAATAGGAATAATTTTTAAGAAAAAATCAATTTAATGTTGAACATTAAAAAAGAAATTCGAAAATCAGTGATACACAATATTGAACGATTCATTGATTACATGAATGTTTCTAATAAACTGACATTTTTTGTGAATGATACTTAGTCACTGAATAATAAGAAAGGAGAATTATTCAGTTAGGGGCAAATTTTTTTTTTAAAAAAACCTTTCTACAACTGAAAAGTATAGTGATTTGAATGAAAGCCTACATGCAAATCTAGGTATTGTTTACAAATTGATGTAGTGTATGTATTTCTTGCTTATAAGTTCATTCAATTATTTATTAAGTCTCAATATTTAACTAACTGACTCATTATCTTCACTCGCTAATCATTCTCCATTACTGCTAATACTTCTACGATCACTATCACTCTTAAGATTTAAACTGACAGTTACGTCTCTGTGCTAATGTGTGGTATGACAACTTGAACTGATTGGATGTACTTACGTACAAAGTTCTACGTTGTAACTGACTGACTGAGAACAAATACACATATATTAGCTGGTTTGAGCTCATTACAAACGAATCCAAACTTATGTTTTGGTCGATTTATATTGCAATCTAATAAAGTCAAATTTTTTCTATTAGTTTCCAATTTGTGCGAAGTTACGTTCATGTCTTGCTATCCCAATGTGTATGTAAGTTTCTTATCTAGATATTTCCATCAGCTCTTACTCGTTACGGAAGGTATTGATAAATCTATCTAATGAAATTTACAACACTGAGAGTTTTAAAACAAACTTGAAACTACATAATTTAATGTAGTTACGAACTAACACATAACCAAGATTTATCTGCGTTGGGCTATTATATAAGACGAAGCTCGATAGCTTGTTTCCATGTTCTAAAAAGTTTAAACATGTAATACTTGATACAAAGAGGTATCCTCCCCACATTCTCGACCGTAGCAGGGCACTTGAGGCTCAGTAGCCTAAGCATTTAATCCTTAACTATTGTGTCACGGATTTTGGATCTGGTCTAAAAATCAAGCTTTACACAGATAGCTGGTACCTGTATTATGCACATTGAGCGGTTTTTTTAATACCATAAAAATTCTCCGGTTTTACTGATACATTGCGGTGCATGATAAAGGATGACAAAGGTTGAGTTTGTAGTTAAACTGGTGGTTTAAAGTATCCAGATAAAGGAAAGAACCTGAAGGTGGAACTACAGGAATCGTGAGTACGATACTTAATAAGACTTAAATTAAAAATGACCTTGGAGAATGGTATTCCTGAAAAAAAAAGTCAAAAGAATGAGTCTCAAACGATTTTACGATAATGATAAAAGTCACCGATAATTAGCTATTGCAAACCTTTTTCGGGTAACACTACGTGTGTCATTTTAAACAAACTACAGGACAGGTTTTCTTTTCAACATATCACCGGAATTATGTCTACATATATTAGTGTATAAATGTATATACATATGAATATATCAAATTCTTTCTTAACTTACTTACCATTTAAAGTATGCAAACATTGTAAAGCTTGTTCACGTTCTCTAAAGTGTATAAATGCATAATCACTAATCTTCTTTACTCTTTCAACACTATTCGGATCACCACCGGCAGCTTTAATAAATGAATCTCGTAGACTTTCTTCTGTAGTTGATAACATTAAATTGCGCACATATAAAATTTTTACCTGAAGAAAAAATAAATGATGATAGATGGAAGTAGTTAGTTAAAAAGTCTATTGAGAGCAGATGTAGCTATCAAAATATTGTCAAAAAATTAAGTTAAAAAAAGGTGTCTCTTATGCGTAGATGGTGGTGCTGTGGTGGAAAACTTCAATTCTCAAAGAAAGCAACTCGAAGTCTGAAAGTAGTTATTTAAAGTCTTTCAGGAATAGATGTATTTATCAAAATATTGTCAAAAAATTAAATTAAAAGGTGTCTCTTTAGCGCAGATAGTGGTGCTGTGGCGAAAAACTCCAATTCTCAAAGAAAGTAACTCTAAGTCATTTTTTATCTTGTAACTTAAAATAGCGTTTTACAAAAAAAAATTGATCATTGAACCATTTATAAGACTATAGAAATCCAATGTTCAACAGATTGGTCCTTCATTGTGAATCACTTCAAAATTTTAAATGCTCATTGAACATTGTACCAGGGGTGTCTTGACTTTCCCATTATTTACACATAAAACTACACAACTTACATAATAAATATAATAAATACTCAGAATATACTTACCTATCATATTTAGTATGAAAAAGTTTGATTTTACTATTTTTAGAAACTAAATTTAACTAAACTCCTATTATCTTATCATTTAAGTTCGACTTTATGTATCAACCATCAATAGAACAATAGTTTGAATCATAAAACATTGAGGATCTTTCAATATGATAGTATTGGGCAACAAACAGTAATAATACCACCAAAAAATATCGCTTACTTTTGACATGATATCCTCATTCACCTCCCTTTCTGGTTCAGCCCAATCGACAGCTATCTGATGACCCCATAAATGTATATGTCCCGGTAGTAGTTTACGTCTAGCCATAGCAGCTGCTTTATGACTACTATATTCAATGAATGCGAATCCACGATTTTTTGTTTTATCCGTCACGCTAGGATAAGAGATAACATCTTTAACTCCATCTGTGACTCGTTTCATTTCAGTTAAAATTTCTTCTCTTGTTTTATTTTTTGGGATACCACCAACAAATAGACGACAATTATCTACACTCAAACATACACCAATTGTTTTGCCTTTACGAATTTCATAATTATTCAATTCTTGTACTGCACGTTTTGTATCCTCCCGATTAGTATAAATACAAAAACCATAGCCTCGATTAATTCCATTCAATTCCATCATCAATCGAAACATATAGATTGGACCAATTTGTTCAAATACAGGGATAAGTTCATCTTCAAAACAATCTCGTGGAATTTTCCCAATAAATACTTCACAACCTCTTGGTGGTGCTTCACATTGCCAATTTGGTGGTGGTCCATAACGTCGTTGACCATTCTCTTGTGTATAAGCATATTTTGTACGTTCAAGTAAATTCACAATGGCAGCTTCAGTTGTCGAAGAAGAGATGGTAGTGCATGTAGTAGGAGGATTTTCTTGTTTCTCTAACAGAATATGATGATCATCATTTACAGTAGTAGACATTGTAGAATTATTTGTTGGTGTAGTCAATGTAGTGACAATTTCTGCTGATGTAATTAATTGTAAATTAGTAATGTATTTACTTTGTTGTAATGTTGTCACACTGACAGTATTTTGATTTACATCAGCCGATATCGTTGGCATAACTTTGATTATTATTATTATATGATAGATAGGTGGTAACAAATCAAAATCAAATGGCCACAGACAGAATTGTGTTATGTTGGTTTGTGAATTTGTAGTATCTTGATTGTATGTTGATTGTGCACTGTAGCCAACACAACTCTAACTAACTAACTAACTAACTAGCTAGCTATGTGCACAACACTCGTTAGAAAGTTTGAACTCACACTAGATTTAAGCCTCGCTTAATTTTGATTGGAGGCTTAAATTAAAATGAAGTCTGTGACCTTGGTATTAGGTTGAGTGTTATTTATAATATATATATATAAATATATATATGTATATATGTATATATTGAATGTGATTATTTATCAAATTAATATTAGGGTATTCCAAAACAAAAAATGTGAATTTTGTATCAAATGTTTAGATTTGTACAATCTCAGACATTTTTTTTTCTTTGATCAACAACTTCAAGTGAATATGTACAGTTAGTTAGTTATATCAGTTTGATGAACACCACGTGGGATGCAATTGATAGATTCAGCAAATATCAATAGTTGGTCGATTATATAGATAATTTAAATTGTTGAAGGTCATTGTTAAATGGTTAACATGTACGATACTAGTTACATGTATACTTGAACCAATTTATTTATAATTAGTTAGTAGTTAGTGTTTATTTGTCATATGAAGAGTAAATGTCAACGATAAATTTGTTTAAAACCTTTTCACACGTCATTTACAAACAACAAACTCCATAACTTTAATTGAAGAATCGTACATTGCGCTAACTAGTGACTAGCTTTGTGAGGAGTTCTAGTTATAAGACATGACCAGTGGAGTTCAACCCTGTAGGGTGTAGGCAGTAACTTTCGAAGACAAATAGATGACGTTGTGTAAAATCCCTAAATTGATTAGAATTAGACAATAACACAGTTTGATACCGGCCCGGTAGTCCAGAGGTTAGGCATTCACATGCAAGACCCAAGGTCCGGATGTGGTGTGAGCTACTTATAAGTAGTATATGACGTGAGTGTCAGCGTAATATCTGGCAGCAGAAGATGGGGGAAGATCAAGAAAGGAAGAGTTAGAACACAATGGAATTTGTATGAAACGCATGAATAGTAGTGACAATGGATTGATGTTTTGCAACAGGAACAGTCCAGTTCGATATGATGAACTGTTCGTTAAATACAATCCGGTTGCCCCACCTGTGTTCTCATTCAGTACACGGGGTTTGAATCCTGTGAGTAACAGGAGTCATGGACGTGCAGTGCTAATCAGTCTCATATCAGTTCTTGAATGTTTCTGATGGTAGTCTAACAATCATTGATTCATGATGTCTGTTGTAACAAACTTTTCACAGGTCTTTTTTTTCACAAATCAATAGGATGAATTCTTATCCCTTTACTTAGTTAAAGCTTTATTAAATCACATCGACTTATTATTATAGAAGTATCGATGTTTTAAACTTAAATTAAATAGCATGCTGTTCTATAGTTACCTGAAAATCCTTTGACACAGAACATATCTAATTTTTGTTTGAATAGTTAGAATTATTTAATGGAAAATAAAAATATGAATTTTTATCTCCTTTTTTGTAGTACTAAATACTACTTATGTTATTGTGTATTTATTATTTAAGTAGTCACATTTAATATAAGAAGGGAAAATGTTGAATTTCGTATGAGAAAAGTTCAGATCTTTTTTTTATATAGCAAGTTGATAAGTAAGCATAAAATCATCGTAATACGCTAAACATCTACAACAAGTTGTTTCTTCGAAGCATAGTTTACCATCTCCCTTTATATTCAGGCAAATCCAACCAATTAAGTCGAAAGCAAATAAATACTAAACTTTTATTGCATATAAAATAAACTTTGAGAGTAGTAATCACAATCCGATTTAATCTCGATCTATGAGGAAAACTATTTTCGTAATAAATTATTTGTCTTGGACAGAAAACTGGAAAATAAAATATAAAAGTTTCATGTAGTTAGAAGTTTACAGAAAATATAAGTTTGTTCATTTATTTCTAATGAAAATATTTTCTATGTTGAACAATATACATTACAAGCTAATAGGCTCAATGTGTTTTTATGATCTGATTTGATATCATACATACTAAAATAGTTGTCATGATTTTCAACTAAGTGTTGTTGTGGTGGTGGTGTTCTTAATCTTCATAATTAGCTCGTCCAGACAATCGTTATTGAATAGCGTCTGATGGTTTATAAATCAGAAGGTGAACTCGAAGTGTTGAATACCTTTATTTTGTCACACCACAAATAGATCAGCAAACTAAAAGCAGACCCGGCAGCCACACTAGCGAGCTAATGTGCGAATGGGCGAATGTACGAATGAATTAATAATTAATAATTAATAATTAATATATACAGAGGAAAATGTCTGAGTTATCGAGGTATTTGAGATCAATATTAAAGCATATGCGCGTGAGCGTAAGCAATGCTCAGTCGTACAAGCTCATACAAATCAGATAATAAAAACTACCAATGGTACATATGAGTTATTGCTACACAAATAGCTTGGTTACGTAAGATAATCGAAAAGGCTTAATCAAATTAAATATGAGGAGGCACTACATTGTATTTCATTTTCGTAGTCAACTTCAAACATCTCAAAACTCTCTGATTTTCAATTAGAGTTATGAATATTAGTGTTTTAACACATTGATATCATCAACCGATCATTGTCAGATCACCATTAGAAACCTGGAAGCAGTGGACGGCCACCTCGTCCTAGTATGGGACTCATCAGTGGCAGTGCGCATCCACGACTCTTGCATCTCGCAGAATTCTAACCCGGGGCCCTCGGTCTTGCACGCGAAGACGTGACCAGTGGAGTTGTAAATCTGTCGAGTGTAGGCAGTAACCACCAAAGACAGATGGGTGAGGTCACGCAAAATCTCTAGATCAATCAGAGTTAGAGATTAACACTGCCGGATGCAGGCACATTGGTCAAGAGGTTAGGAGCTCGCGCTCAAGACCGGAGGTCCCGTGCTCGAACCCTGCAAGAAGAGGGAATCGCGGACTCTATGATTTGTCATTTGAGAGTATGCCTTATCTGTTTCATTTAAATATGAAGTTTTTCAGCGAAATTCTAAAATCAACGTAGTGAGTTATAACTTGTAACGTTTGATGTTACGTGAAATAAGATATACTGGTCGGCTACAACATTGATAACACTGAAATGAAACTTTATCATATATACCAAAAAATGTACTAGTAAATTAATTTTTCAAAAAAATTCTCCATATTTTTCAAACTTGATCTTATTCGAACGAAATAAATGGACAACATGTCCCATTTACTTCAAGTATTTCATGTTTCTACTTGAATTTATTGAGGAGTTGGACTATTGTGGAATTGACGCATATTCAACTGTGTTCACTGACTGAGGCGACAATGTAACATTTAAGTTACTGATCATTAGTATAGTGCTTTAACTCTGGAACCACAGGTTCACTATAACAGGTATAATCAAATTTGTAATCTCTGCAACCATCACTGATGCAGACACTAATCAACTGACGATATATGTCTTCTTATGGATATACAAGATCGCCAGCTTGATCAAAGTTAGACACTATCATCGTTGGATGCCAGCCTAGCGGTCCAGAGGTTAAACGTTCGCGCTCAAGAACGAAAGCCCTAGGTTCGATTCCTGAGAGTAGCGAAAGTCGTGGATGTGCACTGCTGGTAAATCCCATATCAGGACGAAACGGCCGTCCAATGCTTCTAAGTTTCTAATAGTGGTCTAACAATGACTGATTGATGATTCCAATGTGCAATATACACTTGATCAATCAAGATGTAAAACAACAGTTGAAATAAATAAACAGTGCAAAAAGTTATGAATGACAGTCTTATATTTATAATTCATCTCTATTCACACAGCATATATTTCCTAAACGACTCTATTTTCAATTGTGTTTTTTTTATTCTTATTATGTTTGATATTTATTATATTACTTAGAAAATTGATTATTTCAGTTTGTGATGTAAGTGGTTTTTGTTCATTAACCTATTTACCATTTTTTTTTAAAAACATCCACATAAGATAGGTTTGTTCATTTTAAATAAATAAACAAACAGATATATTTTTGAAACCATGAATCGATCAATGTTAGACCACCATTAGAAACTTGGAAGCACTGGACGGCCCGTTTCGTCCTGGTATGGGACTGACTCATCAGTGGCAGTGCGCATCCATGACTCCTGTACCCCGCAGGATTCGAAACCAGGACCTTCGGTATTGTGCGCGAACGCCCTAACCGTTAGACCACTGAGCCGATATCGTGGATACGCACTGCAGAGGAGTCCCATACCAGGGCGAAGTGGCCGTCCAGTGCTTCCAAGTTTCCAATGGTGGTCTAACATTGATCGATTCATGGTTTCAAAAATGTGTAACTTAACAATCTTCACAACCTCGTAATGCAAATATATATATTTCATAAAATAATGTTATATTTGTTCGTATTTTCATTAAATTAGTAGAATAAGAAAACTGAGAGGAATCTTTCAAAACTATATTACTAGCTTATTTAACTGTCGATTTTTATAATTAGTAGAGTTGAACAACTAAGTGTTAAAACAAATATTTCAATAGTAATCACCTTTCTCATTTAATCATAAAGCATTAGAGCTTTCCTTTCATATTATGTAGTTTTCTCTATATTAACTTACTTGTACATGAAAATGTTACATTGACACTAAGAGATTGGTACCTTGTTAAGTAGTATTGAAACATTGAGTACTGATAAAAAAAATATTACCAGTACTTCATTAAGTATCGAATGAAATTTCCATAAAATATCAATGAATTTTAGTGCATGAATATTAATCTAATGAGTTGAAGACCAATTTGAAACAATGATTGGTAAGAAAAATCAGAAGAGATAAAAGTTGTTTAAAAAGATAACTGATAATACAAATATTATCTTAAAGATGAATCAATGACTGATACTGAGGAAAATTAGTTAAATGAATTGATAGTAGACCGAGAACATAATTTTTGAAGTTCCTTTTCTTACTTGTATGATTAGTTACTTAATTACTTACACCTATTCCCCATAAACGAGCATAAGCAACTGACCAGCATTCTCTAGCCTATTATGTCCTGGGTCTTCTATCCTAGTTATACGTAACTGTTGTTCATTCT